GTTTGTGTGTGTGTGTGTGTGTGTGTGTGTGTGTGTGTGTGTGTTGGGAAAGGGTAAGACAGTTGAAATGCATTAGACTCTGTCTTGTCTTTGTCACCATGAACATGGTACTGAGAAGAGCCCTGATGGCATCAGGCATATCCTGGGATCCTCAGAGAGATGTGAGCACCAGGAATCCCTGCCTCCAGCCCTCTCTCCCAGACTTGATTACAAGTGACCTTGGGAAGTATTTTGATGATTTGGATTCTTACTTTCTTATGCAGCTGAGAGTGAACAACAGTTCCTGGATGTCCATATTTCACAGCATGTGAAACCAACTAGTGCACCTTTCTGATTGTCACATTCAAGCTAGGTCACCTGGGCACCTCCTTCTGAGACTCAGCATGGAAGGCAGAGCTAGACAGGTGCCCAGGTCATCAGCACACTCTTTTGATTGGCTTATGAGTATTCACAGGAAGATCAGTGTCCCCAAGGTGAAGAACAGAGAACACAGGTACACTTGATATTTTCTTGTCCTCTGGGGTCCACCTCAGGGATTTTCCTCATGCAGTCAAATGGTAATGTGCTCTGATGGTCTTTACATCTCCCAGACATGAGCCACAGTCATCCTTTTGATAGCCAGAGGGTGATATTAGCTCACAGTCTAACCCTGCGGTGCTGGGAAAGAAACATGTGATTTCCATTTCTTTCCCAATAGACATTGCCACAGGCCCACATGACCTACTGGTGCTTCCATTGTCTGAGAAAGGTACTATGCTAGCGACCATATTCAGGCTCCTTCTTTCTAGCATAGGGAAAGCGAGGGGGGCCACAGGAGAACTACCAAGCAAAGAATAGATGTCCCTAAAATGTCAGGGTGGACATGGGCAAACCTGAGCCATACCTTAGCCACCAAAAGAGGCTGGAACTCAGGTTTCCCTTTGAAACCCTCAACAGTAGTGTGAGACCACACCTTTCCAGGGCACAGTTGACCTTGTCAGCAGATAGGACATGGATCTCTTGATAGAACTCTTCCTGCATGTCTGTCCTGGATCTGACCCTGAATGGTCACCCTAGTGATAAGCAATGAGTGTCCTTCCTCTGCCATCACTCAGGTGGTCCCTTTCCAGCTGTCACAGACACCTGCTACCTACTGCCCGAGAGCAATTTCCACCTTACTAGAGCATTGTCGACACAAGGACAACTGGGTTCACAGCAGAGTTTCTGTGTCACAGAGAATGCATAGGGATGAGAGTGTCCCCTCTTTGATGCTACAGTGCCAAGGCCAGGACACAGCTGAGATCAGTCCCGGGGTGAGCTGTTGGATTTTGGGTCGCAGGAATAATTATTGGCCCATTGCTCACTGTGTGGTCTGGAGGACTGAAACATAAAGCGAGTTGGGAAGAGAGTCACCAAGCAATTCCAGGGAAAGGAGTGAGACCTGCCTTGGACAAGGACACACCCACAGTCCATGTGACTCTTTGATGTGATTCTGCCTTGCAACAGGCTTAGCTCGGAGGGAGACAGGACAGTAGAGCTGACTCAGGTACATCAGAGTGACTCTAGGACAGCAGCACTAACTGGGGGACAGAAGAGCTCAATTCTGCCAGACCCATTGACTTGAGTTTAGTCCCCAGCTCCCATGAGGCTGAAGAAGAGAACCCTCTCACTCCTCAAAGTTGTCCTCTGCCACATACACACTGTGGCGCACACCCAGCAATATACATATCTATGTAGGAATGCACATGTGTTCATGCCTGCACGCATTCATGAACACATGAAATGGAAATACATGTAAAAATTAAATTAAACACAGGACATTCTAGACCTTGGAGCATCTGTTTCTCATTCTTATGTTCAGTCATTCATTTATTCATTCATTCATTCATTCATTCATTCATTCATTCATCGTCCACAGATGTCAGAACCTTTTCTAGGTAGCATGCCTTCCAAAACTGAGATTAACCATGGTCTTCACAAATGTTTATTCCAAGTGGACTTGAAGATAGGCCCATAAAGAAAGCTCAAAGGTGAAGTCAGGTGTTGTCTGGAACCACAAGAGGAAAGAACCTAAACCCCAGAAAAATCAGAGAGGCAGGTGTGAGGTTTTGTAGAGAAAAAAGCCAGGAAGTCACCCCCCCCAACGCCAATTTACACTGATTGTGAGCAGGGTTCTGAGGGCAGTGAAGTCAGGGTCATGTTACCAACTGATCAGAGAGTTTCATACAGAGAAAATGACATGTGCAAGGACACTGATTGCATAGGGCTCATGTGCTGACTCACTGAATATATAGGACCTTGAGATACACAGGACACAGGCCCCCAACTTAGGCAAATAACAAAGTCCTACTACTAATGGATCTTTCTTCCCTTCTAGCCTCCCATTGTCTGCACCATCCCTCCTCTGCTCAGCCTACTATTGAATTAGTTCCACCTAGAGTTGTTGAAGGAGGAAGTGTTCTTTTAGTGGCTCACAACCTCCCGAAGAATACTTTAGTCATTTACTGGCACAAAGGATCGTTGGTGACCAGGGACCATCAGATTGCCCAATATACTATATACAAAAATTCAAGTGAGCTGGGCGTTGCACACAGTGGTAGAGAGACAGTGTACCGAAACGCATCCCTGCTGCTCCAGAATTTGACCAGGATGGACACTGGATTCTACACCCTAGTAACTCTGAAAGAAAGTGGGGAAGTTGGATTAGCCCAAGTACAACTTCTCGTAGAAAGTAAGTGATTCTCTGTGATCATTCAGTGTTGTGTGATATCTTTTCTGGCATGTATGTAGCGTCCCCATGTTGGTGTTTGAGCAATTAGTGCTGGTCACACATGGTGAAGACAAATGGTGATAGATCATACTACATCATCTGACTCCCCCTCTTTCAAGAAAGTCCTTGATGCAAAGCAGCTCTGATAGGGGAAGTCCTTATGTTTGTCTTATTAGTTGATAAATAAAGTACTGTTGGCCAATAGGAAAGCAAGACAGGTGGAACTCAGCGTCCAGGAGGATTCAGGGAAATGTAGTAAAGATATCCAAGCTGGAAGTGACACAGCAGGCAGATGCATATATAAGCAGGGACAAACAGGAAGTAGTCCTCTTGCTCTTGCTCTTCTTCCTGCTTTCTGCTCCGGAGCAGCCATGTGAGCCCAGGAAGACAGGATGCCTTCTGCCAGCGTCCCCCATAAGATAAGTCTTATGTTTATGGTTGATAATTAAGACTAAACTAGCAGATTAGAAATCCTAGTCATTGGCCCAGCAGCAATTGAAACTAAGGTAAATCTCTGTGTGTTATTTGGGGCCTTAACATGGTGGGTAGAACTAGGGTGGCTGGTGGAAAGCACCCATGTGGCGGGGCGGAACTCGGGCGGCCTGGCAGAAAGACTTATCATTACACAATTCAGCCTAAAATGTCAGATTATGCTCAGTCTCATTGGGATCTCAATTCATATTTCAGTAGGCATCAGGCAGGGGCTGCTTGAGGCTGTTATGACATCTTAACAGAGAGGCAGTCTCCAGGAAGCCTTATCCACACTAAATGTCCTAGGCTCAACTACTAGTGACCATATGGGACATTTTGGCAGGGCTAGAGTAATAATGCCTCTTAGCGCTGAATTTGAGCAACGTTTCATGGCTGTCCATGTCAAACTGGGGAATTTATTTTCTCCAAACATGAGTTTCATTAAGAAATCTACGAACTGTTTCAGAGACAGAGAAGGAATGACGCCTATTAGTCTGTTCTTCATTGATTGCTCAGCCTTCTCTCTTGTATCTCCCTGAAACCATTAGGATAGGAGCAGAACTGCTCTCAGTGGGCTGGACCCTCCCATGTCAATCACTGATTTAAAACATTGTATCATATATGTGCCCACAGACTGACATGGTGCTGGCATTTTCAATTGAGTCGCCCTCTTTCAAATCAACAGTAACTTGTGTGACATTGACGTAAAAACCAGCCATGCTTGTATCTAAATTTTTTTTAACACCTGAGCTTGCCAAGAATATCAGACTTCTCTGGCCCTTGTTTAGTCCTAGATTTGTAGGATTCAGGGAAGAGAAGCAAGAGCATGTAGAATTTCAAGTCAGGGGTTGACTGGAGCCACAAAGGAATCTGGGAAAAAAGGCAAATGCTATGGTATCTGTGGAGAAAAAGTTCAGAGGATGCATAATCTCAACCTCAGTGTGCAGTGCTTGAGTGAGGGCAGTGAGGGACGGCTGTACAGACACCCCAGGAGAGAGTTCCGTGTAGAGGAAATGACATATTCAGGGTCACTGAGGAAATGAAGGTCATGTTGTTGACATCCACCAAGTGGGTTACAAACACCCACACCCTCATCTCTAGGCTGAGTGATGGATCCATCTGTTTAGGATAAAGGTTGCTATCTTTCCACCAAGCACAACGATCCTAACTGTTTTTCTTTTGTCTTTCAGCCTCCCATTCTGTGTGCTGCAACTCTCTCACTTCTGTCCAACTCACGATAGAGCCTGTGCCACAGAATGCTGTTAAAGGGGAAAGCGTTCTTCTCCTTGTTCATAATCTTCCAAAAAATACTCTATCCTTTGCCTGGTTCAAATCAGTTCTAAGTGTGCCGGATAATAAAATTGTGGAATACAGAACAGACTGGAAATACCTCACCAAGGGGCCTGCCTACAACAAAAGAGCAATGCTGCACACCAATGGATCCCTTCTGATCCAGGATGTCAAGGAGACAGATGCAGGATTCTATACACTACAAATTTTCAAAAGTGATTTGAATTTTGAAATGGCATTTGTACTACTCCATGTGCACAGTAAGTGATTCTCTATGGTTTCTATCTGCTGGGTGTGGCTTATTCTACTTCACACACTGAACTCCCAAGACTGGGTTGTGCCTGGTTCCCTCTCCCCACTCTCTTCACAGAGAGTGCCAGGAAGCCCTGGCTGCAAATTTCTGTCTCTGACTAGATTGAAGATGACACTAGGAAACTTTTAGTTACTGTTTAGTTTGGACTTCCTGTTAGAGTTGGCAGGGAAAAAGGCTTTATTGGTATGTGGAACCAGCTAGCTCACTGTCATGAGAGCTGTAGTTAGAGATAGCAAGTGGAGAGTGTAGCTGGTCAGGTTCACAGACAACTAATTAATGGTTCTGATAGGATTATGAGACCCCACAGGAAGGTTAGAATTCCCAAGTGGAGTAACAAAGGACGAAGTCCTTTTGCAAGTGATTGTCCTCTGGGTTCTTGCTATGGAATTCTCTCCTGTAGACAAATTGTAACAGAGGTGCTGATATGGACAGCTCCCAGACACTAGGAACAGTTCTTCTAGTAATCATTAGGTAGCTATAGAGGATGCAAATCAATACCTAGAAAAAACAT